GAGAAGAGAGAGAGAGAGAGAGAGAGAGAGAGAGAGAGAGAGAGAGAGAGAGAGAGAGAGAGAGAGAGAGAGAGAGAGAGAGAGAGAGAGAGAGAGAGAGAGAGAGAGAGAGAGAGAGAGAGAGAGAGAGAGAGAGAGAGAGAGAGAGAGAGAGAGAGAGAGAGAGAGAGAGAGAGAGAGAGAGAGAGAGAGAGAGAGAGAGAGAGAGAGAGAGAGAGAGAGAGAGAGAGAGAGAGAGAGAGAGAGAGAGAGAGAGAGAGAGAGAGAGAGAGAGAGAGAGAGAGAGAGAGAGAGAGAGAGAGAGAGAGAGAGAGAGAGAGAGAGAGAGAGAGAGAGAGAGAGAGAGAGAGAGAGAGAGAGAGAGAGAGAGAGAGAGAGAGAGAGAGAGAGAGAGAGAGAGAGAGAGAGAGAGAGAGAGAGAGAGAGAGAGAGAGAGAGAGAGAGAGAGAGAGAGAGAGAGAGAGAGAGAGAGAGAGAGAGAGAGAGAGAGAGAGAGAGAGAGAGAGAGAGAGAGAGAGAGAGAGAGAGAGAGAGAGAGAGAGAGAGAGAGAGAGAGAGAGAGAGAGAGAGAGAGAGAGAGAGAGAGAGAGAGAGAGAGAGAGAGAGAGAGAGAGAGAGAGAGAGAGAGAGAGAGAGAGAGAGAGAGAGAGAGAGAGAGAGAGAGAGAGAGAGAGAGAGAGAGAGAGAGAGAGAGAGAGAGAGAGAGAGAGAGAGAGAGAGAGAGAGAGAGAGAGAGAGAGAGAGAGAGAGAGAGAGAGAGAGAGAGAGAGAGAGAGAGAGAGAGAGAGAGAGAGAGAGAGAGAGAGAGAGAGAGAGAGAGAGAGAGAGAGAGAGAGAGAGAGAGAGAGAGAGAGAGAGAGAGAGAGAGAGAGAGAGAGAGAGAGAGAGAGAGAGAGAGAGAGAGAGAGAGAGAGAGAGAGAGAGAGAGAGAGAGAGAGAGAGAGAGAGAGAGAGAGAGAGAGAGAGAGAGAGAGAGAGAGAGAGAGAGAGAGAGAGAGAGAGAGAGAGAGAGAGAGAGAGAGAGAGAGAGAGAGAGAGAGAGAGAGAGAGAGAGAGAGAGAGAGAGAGAGAGAGAGAGAGAGAGAGAGAGAGAGAGAGAGAGAGAGAGAGAGAGAGAGAGAGAGAGAGAGAGAGAGAGAGAGAGAGAGAGAGAGAGAGAGAGAGAGAGAGAGAGAGAGAGAGAGAGAGAGAGAGAGAGAGAGAGAGAGAGAGAGAGAGAGAGAGAGAGAGAGAGAGAGAGAGAGAGAGAGAGAGAGAGAGAGAGAGAGAGAGAGAGAGAGAGAGAGAGAGAGAGAGAGAGAGAGAGAGAGAGAGGAAGGGAAGGGAAGGGAAGGGAAGGGAAGGGAAGAGATTATTTCAGCTGACTCCGTAAACAATTTTCTATTTCTTTCTTTACCTCTTCATTATTCGAAAAATGCTTTCTAGGTAAAGCTGCTTTGAGCAGACCAAACATGTGGTAATCTGATTGTGTAGGATCTGGACTGTATGCGGGGTGTGGCAAAATCCCCCAGCCTAGTTTTCTAATCATTCCCTGAGTATGCTATGCACTGTGGGATCATGCAATGTCTTGTTAAAGAATCGTGCCTTATCTTTGCAGTCTGAGACGCTTCCAAATTATGGCTGGCTTAATTTTGTTTTCTATCATTTTAGAATATGTTGCACTGTCGATGGTATGGCAGTATATTGGTCCATTCATACCCCAGAAAAGAGTACCGTAAGCATCACTTTATTTTTTTTGCTTGAGAAGATGAAGAATGTTTCCACACTGTGCTTTGATGTTTTGACTCTGGTTCAAAGTGGTGCACCTAGGTTTCATCACAAATCACGATCCGCTGTAAAAATGCTTCACCTTCGCGTAGAAATCGCTCTTTCAGTTCAATTGAAATTCGCAGTCTAGCGACTTTTATGTTATTCACCCAGAATTTTGGGGACCCATCGTGCACACATTTTCTTAAACTTCAAAACAACATGAACGATGTTGTGTACTGTACCAACACTGGCATTCAAATCTGTTACAATTTGTTCAATTGTAATGCATCCGTTTCCCAAAATTTTCCGCTCAATGTTCTGGTGCAATTGGGTGTTAAAACTTCGACAGGTCGTCCGGCAAGATCTTCGTCCACATTGCTTGTTTAACATTGCTAAACCCACTTGTAAATGTTCGCTCGACGATGCAATTGCTTCCGTATTGAGGTGATATTGTGCAATGAATTTCGCTTGGTTTTATCCCTTCATAATTTAAAAAAAACTAATAACAGATCGTTGTTCTTCCAAAGTACAAAATTCAAGCAGAGCGCTCATCATTACTGCAACACTTACTTGAGACTAATCAAAAGAACTGACTAAACAAACATATGAAGATGTAGCTTATGCATGTCTAAACATGTCATAACACGATCGCTGTGCTTGCCCCACCCCTTTGTTGTCTACATCAAAAAGTCTTGTTACTTATTGAATGGCAGGCACGCACGCACACAAACACACACACACTTATCATATCCCTGGTCGTCCATATCTTTATCATTACTAGAAAACCACAATCACTCCTCGATATCCGAGGCACTCAGACCACACCAGGAATGCTGTAACGCACATAATGTCTCAGCCATGACTGAGAAGAAACTGACAGTCCAAGAGATAATTTGTGGGTTGTGGCCACCTCCCTACATGCCAGATGATCAACTGAGATGAGTCTATCTGGCAATAAGATTCAAATAATGAGCGGCAAAATTATTACCACACAGGGTGCAGGAATCACATTGAAAGGATTAAGGGTCCTCAGTCCCATAATGTCAGAGACAAAAGAAAGGTATGGTTCCCCAAAATAAGGAGGAAAAATACAGATTATTGAACTTGTACAGCCAACAACAACATTTTTTTGTACCTTTACGGGATTATAAAATATGAAACTAGACCAAGAATTCTGAACACCCATGAGTTATGTGTATGTTGGCAGCACTGTTAATTTCTCTGTATTAACTATGCATGATATACAGAATACTGTGTATCATATTGGTTCTAGAATACATCACACATCAGATGTACCAACCTTACCAAATGAACATGGCCTCAGTCAGTGATCATTGCAAATGCCATCAGAGCCAAGAATGCAGAAAATTTTATTGTTGACTACAAAATTTTTTTATGTTACTGTACACTCAAATGCCAAGTCTAAATCCAATTAAATTTATTCATGTTATCATGCACTCATACATACAAACAGCCAGACAGTTAAGAGTGCCTAAATCTCTTACTAGAGATAGCAGTGGATATGACCATAATCGAGGGTGATGTATCCACTGTCAAGTTTAAACAGTCAAACAAGAACCATAATTCCTAAGTTATGTTGAAAAATGTTAATCAGTCAACCAAGTACTGTACATTTTCATTATATAAAACTGAAAATCGAATTTCATTTTGAGTCTTGGAAGTCTTATCAAGACATGAATCTAGAAACATTTTATTAGAACCAAAAGGAGTTACTTTATTATAAGCCCCCTTATATTTTATAATATGCATAATACAAGAAAAACTATACAATACCTAGTACAGTATATAAAAAAATAATTCTTCCTAACCTTTTATTTTTCAATGAGTGTATCTTTACATTTTCCTTTCTGACTTCTTCTAATTACTTTCCACACTATCAATACTTCTGGGCTAAATAGATACAGCTCCCCCCCGGCTTACGACGGGGTTAGGGACCCAAATCCAGGTCGTAAGTCGAAATTGCTTAAATAATACATAGAAAATCTAAAATGGGAGTCTCCTTTTCTTCTTAGCACTTCTTAGCACCTGGCGCTGCTCAGCAGCAGCCACGTCAACTGTTATGTTGGCCCATACCAACTCCCTCCCCTGAACCCTCCTCCCCACCGGAATATCAACAAGTTCTCGCCAGAAGTTACTATTTCATTTGGGAAAGGAATGGAACCAGTGTTGAATAGTGGTGAACAGTGCTTAAGTCAGTGAAAAACAACTCGGCAGTTACAGTCGAGTCTTACCCAAGCTAACCTTCACAGGGGTGAGGTCCCAGGTACCCAGTGATAATTCCCCCGAGACTCCATGATAGAGAGGCCAGGGACCACACCTCACCCACTTGAGTGAGTGAAGTCGACCTCGTGGTGTCCCCATGATGCTATGACACCACGTAGTGAATGAGTTGCTACAGCATCATGTGAAGTTCCTCTTAACACCATCTGTGAGGGAATTACTACACCACATGATGCCCCTCATAACACCATCTGTGAGGGTATTACTACACCACATCAGGCCCCTCATACACCATCTGTGAGGCAACTACTACATCATCAGGCCCCCCGTAACACCATCTGTGAGGGAATTACTACACCACGTCAAGCCCCTCATAACACCACCTGAGGGAACTAGTACTCCAAGTGATGCCCCTCATAATGCCATCTGTGAGGGAGTTACTACACTACGTGTCTGCTGTTCAACACCTCAGCTTACATGATCTATGTGTGTAAACATTAATCTGTATGTTCACTGTATGTTCCTTCACCTTTCTCTAATGAAGGCTTTTGTTAAACCACCAATGTATGTAATAAGTCATTTGTGTCCAATGTATATGTTCAGCCTTCGGGCTGCAAACTTTTTCAATAAACCGTTTATTATTATTATTATTATTATTATTAAAACTCTCCCTTTTCAGCTTGCCAGCCATTTTAAAGTGAATTACAAACGAAAATTTTGTCAGTACACAGCGCAATCACTGACGTTGGGACTCGAAAATACATAATTTGACAAAATTTTGGTACAACTGGGGCGGTCGTATGTCCGGGTGGTCGTAAGTCGGGGAGGAGCTGTACCTGATGTTTATTATCAATCTAACATTTTTTTTCTGAAGACTGAATCAAGTTCCAACTAAAGGTACATCAACCATGATCAGTACTAAATTTCACATTTGTTCCATTAACTCAACTTAATTCTATCACTGAAATACCCTGTTAAACAATTTGTTCAAAAAGGTAATTTGTGCCCACCTTCATAAGCAGAATCACTGCATTCTTTCAATTCGACCATTTCTTGTTTGACAGGAATCATTTCTGAATCTGAATCACCACCTGATAACCGACTATCATCATTTGGAGTCTGTGGTTCTTGGGTGGGTTGGTGGACGTCTATGGATAACCTGGGTCGTTTGGGGCTGACGGAATCTGAGTCACATCCCTCCGGTGGTCTTGGAGAGGATGACCGAAGTACTCTTTGCTAAGATGTGAAGAGAAAATCAAATGAAAAGTTAATTTCTCATTAAGTTTACATATTCAGGCATAAACTAAGCTACAAGACCCTTTCTTCTATTGGGAAGATGAATACAACTCCTAATAAACTGATGTTGTTAAATACCCTATACTAAGTCAATTACATTACTCAGAATAATTAGATATAATCCATCATTATAGTTTCCTTAACCTGTACCTGGTCGTACCATACAAGTACGGGAAAAACATCATTGGCTTTTCTGGTGGTCCTGTACATATGTACAGTACTGTCTATAATGACATTTGAACATGGGTATGGAATTTTCCTCTGATGGGTGCTATGGTTATATTTTGGTATATGGCAAACACTCCCCACCCCACCCACACACTCACATTCCCCTTTGTACCCTTAACCTGACCTACTAACTGCACGGCCACCATAACGAGTGGACATCGCTCAGAACTCTTCTACACAGATGAGGAAATTTCTAACATTCTGTTTAAGAGATGAAACTGAGGCAGAACAGAGTGATAACAGTGTAATAGACAACACTGGTACAGATGAGTGATCGTGACCTTGACTAAATTGAGGGAAGTGATGAAATGGGGTACATTAGTGGTGGGGAGGCCGGACAGCATGGTGCTTCACCACCACCTGTGAGTGAGAGAGATGACACAAGTGAAGATGCTGTACATCCTTCCAGGCTCTAGTACTCCACTGGATGTACGGCTTAGGAGCAGTGATAGTAGTAATGCAGGAACACTCAGGAAATGCTGTACAGGAAGGAGGGGTGTGCATACATGTGGCAGCTCTCGCCAGCCTCCCTCTCTCCCCTGCTTCACCCCTTGGATCACGTGTGTGCATTTGTGTGCGAATGTAGTGCTGTGTACTGTTCAGAGTAACAGTGAGAGTAGTTTTATGAGTATTGCATAAGTAGTTTGTAAGTGTACCAAGTGAGCACACGAGCCAGCTTTTGTCAAAAAATAAAAGTTTGTGTGAAGAATGTGTTTTTTTCATACACCCATCAAGTAAAAATACTCTATAGTGATTTCTCCATTAGCCGGAACAATTGGAGCAGAGCACTTCCAGGAATGAGAGATTTCCGGGTAGTGAAATGAGACGACTCAAAGCCCGAAAAAATCCCCCATCCCCAGAATTTTCCAGGTATTGGAAAAATTTTCTCGGAATTTCCGGAATATGAACCTGATTTTTCATCTCTGAAACCCGGAAAAAATCCCGAATCTCCGGAATTTTCCAGGTACCGGAAAAATTATCTAGGAATTTCCCAGAAAACGTGCCCCTCGGAAAATCGCTCCCGAAGCCGGAATCTTCTGGAAAATTACAACTTTGGGAACGATTTCCTGAGAAAATTTCAATTCCAGCTATCGGGGGGTTCCAGTTAAGAGGGATTCCAGCTAATGGAGATACTACTGTATATGAATAATTGAATAAGATAAAACAAAGGGAAAAAATTATTTTTTATGGAAATATGGAGGTAGGATGTTAAGGTGTGTAAGTACAGTGGGCTAGACAGCCTTGAAGGCCACCAAGTGCACCACGCAGCAGACCATCTGAGTGATACATCATCCTGTGGGACCCTTACATTGAACTAGGAATTTTTTCACTATTTTCCTTTGTTTTGTGGGTGATTTGGGACCTATCTCAGGTAGTTTTATAAAATAGCTTTTATGTGACAAAGAGGGGAGCATAGGGGATCTGGTACCGCAACCAGGAACAGGCTAAGATACAAATCTTAAAAAACTTTGTCAGCCTGTTTTCATCAGCAATGGCTTTCAAAAGTAAAACACACATTTACACCATTAATTAATTAATTAATAATAATAATAATAGCTGGTCTTTTGTTACTCAATAGTGCCATCTTCTAAAGAATTCACTTGCACTCAAACACTACAAAGCCAAAGACTTAAGAATAAATAGAAATACTGTACTACTGTACAGTACTACAATAAAAGATGACAAAAAGTGACAGTTCAATTTCTATTATTCATATACCCTTAAGTTTTAATATTTCCTGAACCCTGTGATTCTCTATCACCATACACTGTTCACGAGCATAAGCTTTATAAAAAAGAAAGATCATAAGATGTTTCTTAAAGGCTTCCACAGAAGTCAGCTGCTTCATGGATGCAGGCAACATATTGTACAATCTGGGTGCTGTACAGGAAAAGGATCGGGCACCAAAAGAACATTCCCGTACTGCTCCAGGCTCCTCGAGACGTGAAGGATCATCACCACTAGGCAAAATCATTTCAGAATGTGTAGGCAGAGGAAATAATAGGTTGACCAAATGCTTAGGTTCACCAAACATAAGTGTCTTAAAAATCATTAGACAGAATTTGAACTCTATCCTAGCTTTAATTGGAAGCCAATACAATTCAATCAAAAATGGGGTACTGGGAGTCCTCAATAGGAGAGCAAAAATAAGCTTGGCAACCCTGTTCAACACCGTCTGAACTTTCTTCAGTAGACAATTAGGTCGGCAGACCTATAGAGTACCAATAGTCAACCCGAGACAAAATAAGTTAATGTAATTGTGTCACAAGACACTGTATATCTAAAAACTGTTTAACAGCATATAGATTCCAAATATAAACGTTGCAACTCTTAACTACAAAATTTTTATGCTCTTTAAAATTCAGTTTTGATCAAAATTACACGCCAAGATTATGAACAGAATCAACAGGACTGAGTTGTACTTCCCCAGAGTTTAAAGAGCCAAAATCATCTGTGTTGTCTACCATCCATGGACGACGATAATCTCGGTTTTGCTATCACTCAGCTCAAGTTTTCTCCTAGCCATCCAAATCTTAATACACTGTACCCTCATTAATATGGATTATTATATTTCAGATTTCAGCTTAATTCATATGTTCCTTTTAAAAATTAATTACACGATTTGAATTCGGAATGAATATGAAAATAGTGGGCAAAATTCTAAATATTCAACAAATTACAACCAAATTGGAACTCAATAATTTCATGACATACCTACACCCAAAAATTATATCAAGTGAAGCACTATAGATGCCAATGATTTATGTGGCATCTTTGACATCTTTAAGTCATTCAGTGTCATTATGACCACCTACTAGTAACTTGGCATCATTATGACCACCTACTAGTCACTTGGCATCATTATGACCACCTGCTAGTCACTTGGCATAATCATGACCACCTGCTAGTCACTTGGCATAATTATGACCACCTACTAGTAACTTGGCATCATTATGACCACCTACTAGTCACTTGGCATCATTATGACCACCAGCTAGTAACTTGGCATCATTATGACCACCTAATAGTCACTAGGCATCAATATGACCACCTACTAGTCACTTGGCATCATTATGACCACCTACTAGTCACTTGGCATCATTATGACCACCTACTAGTAACTTGGCATCATTATGACCACCTACTAGTCACTTGGCATCATTATGACCACCTGCTAGTCACTTGGCATAATCATGACCACCTGCTAGTCACTTGGCATAATTATGACCACCTACTAGTAACTTGGCATCATTATGACCACCTACTAGTCACTAGGCATCAATATGACCACCTACTAGTCACTTGGCATCATTATGACCACCAGCTAGTAACTTGGCATCATTATGACCACCTACTAGTCACTTGGCATCATTATGACCACCAGCTAGTAACTTGGCATCATTATGACCACCTACTAGTCACTTGGCATCATTATGACCACCACTAGTAACTTGGCATCATTATGACCACTAGTCACTTGGCATCATTATGACCACCTACTAGTAACTTGGCATCATTATGACCACCTACTAGTCACTTGGCATCATTATGACCACCAGCTAGTAACTTGGTATCATTATGACCACCTACTAGTCACTTGGCATCATTATGACCACCTACTAGTAACTTGCACGACCACCTTACTAGTCACTAGGCACAATATGACCACTACTAGTCACTTGGCATTATGACCACCAGCTAGTAATCTAGCATCATTATGACCACTACTAGTCACTTAAGATCATTATGACCACCAGCTAGTAACTCGGCATCGGCCATGACCACCCACAGCCACTTAAGCATCACAGACCCACCAGCCAGTAACTCTGGCATCATTATGGCCCACCAGCCAGTAACTTGGCATCATTACAGACCACCTACTAGTCACTTCTGGCATCGGCTATGACCACCAGCTAGCAACTTAAGCATCATTATGCATCCACCTACTAGTCACTTCAAGCATTATGACCACCTACTAGTCACTTGGCATCATTATGACCACCAGCTAGTAACTTGGTATCATTATGACCACCTACTAGTCACTTGGCATCATTATGACCACCTACTAGTCACTTGGCATCATTATGACCACCAGCTAGTAACTTGGCATCATTATGACCACCTACTAGTCACTTGGCATCATTATGACCACCTACTAGTAACTTGGCATCATTATGACCACCAGCTAGTAACTTGGTATCATTATGACCACCTACTAGTAACTTGGTATCATTATGACCACCTACTAGTCACTTGGCATCATTATGACCACCTACTAGTCACTTGGCATCATTATGACCACCTACTAGTCACTTGGCATCATTATGACCACCTACTAGTCACTTGGCATCATTATGACCACCTACTAGTCACTTGGCATCATTATGACCACCTACTAGTCACTTGGCATTATAATCTCACCTACTAGTCACTTGGCATCACGTATGACCACCAGCTAGTAACTTGGCATCATTATGACCACCAGCTAGTAACTTGGCATCATTATGACCACCTACTAGTCACTTTAAGCATCATTATGACCACCTACTAGTCAATTTCAAGATCATTATGACCACCTACTAGTCACTTGGCATCATTATGACCACCAGCTAGTAACTTGGCATCATTATGACCACCAGCTAGTAACTTGGCATCATTATGACCACCTACTAGTCACTTGGCATCATTATGACCACCAGCTAGTAACTTGGCATCATTATGACCACCTACTAGTCACTTGGCATCATTATGACCACCTACTAGTCACTTGGCATCATTATGACCACCTACTAGTCACTTGGCATCATTATGACCACCTACTAGTAACTTGGCATCATTATGACCACCTACTAGTCACTTGGCATCATTATGACCACCAGCTAGTAACTTGGTATCATTATGACCACCTACTAGTCACTTGGCATCATTATGACCACCTACTAGTAACTTGGCATCATTATGACCACCTAATAGTCACTTGGCATCATTATGACCACCAGCCAGTAACTGCATCATTATGACCACCAGCTAGTAACTTGGTATCATTATTATGACCAATTTTACTAGTCACTTGGCATCATTATGACCACCTACTAGTCACTTGGCATCATTATGACCACCTACTAGTCACTTCAGCATCATTATGACCACCAGCCAGTAATCCTGGTATCATTATGACCACCTACTCAGTCTCACTTCTACATCATTATGACCACTCTACTAGTCACTTGGCATCATTATGATCCACCAGCCAGTAATCCTGCATCATTATGACCACACCTGGTACTTAGCTCACTTTGGCATCTATTATGACCACTCATCAGTCACTTGGCATCATTATGACCACCTACTAGTAACTTGGCATCATTATGACCACCTACTAGTCACTTGGCATCATTATGACCACCTGCTAGTCACTTGGCATAATCATGACCACCTGCTAGTCACTTGGCATAATTATGACCACCTACTAGTCACTTGGCATCATTATGACCACCTACTAGTCACTTGGCATCATTATGACCACCTACTAGTCACTTGGCATCATTATGACCACCTAGTTGGACCACCTCATTTGGCATCATTATGACCACCTACTAGTCACTTGGCATCATTATGACCACCTACTAGTCACTTGGCATCATTATGACCACCTACTAGTCACTTGGCATCATTATGACCACCTACTAGTCACTTGGCATCATTATGACCACCTACTAGTCACTTGGCATCATTATGACCACCTGTTAGTCACTTGGTATCTTTATGAGCACCTGCTCGTCACCTGACATCCTGAAGAGCACTTGTAGATTAACTTGGGTTACATTGTTGAGTACCAACTGGTCACTTAGGGTCATCATAACACATGGTATCATTATGAGCAATTATAATTTCACTTGGGGTTATTATGAGCACAAGCTAGTCTAGTCACTTGACATCATTATGAGCTTCTGTCAGAAAGTTGGGTCATAATTAATATTTGCACATGGTGATGAGCATCTGGGATCATTACAGGTGCCTATAGCATTAGTTGTCAACTGGAGTTGCAATAAGCACCTGGTGAATCACTTGGCATGTGAACACTTGGGAGAGGAAAAGAAAAAAATAAAGGTAACAGCTCTTACAAAAATGCAGAATTAGGTTGAAAGTAGAAAAAGGCCTAGATGATGTCAATGTAAGGTTTGGGTAATATCTGTCAATCAAAAACTTATGTTATCGACTGGATACCAAATTGGTGATGAACATTTGAATGTGTTCAAATACTGTACTGCACTACAGGTTGACTATCAAAAATCCGGCAACCTCGGGACCTGAGGAGTGCTGGATTTTCGAAAATGCCGGAAAACTGATGGTTATATTTGCTGTATAAGTTTAACAGAAAATGACTACCTGTACAGTCCTTTAAACAAAGAAAATTAAACACTAAATGAAAAGCAAATGAAATTTTATTATATATGCTGTATACAGTATATTTAACAGAAAATTACTACCTGTACAGTCCTTTAAAAAAAAAGAAAATTAAACACTATACAGCAGCAATTAAATGATAAAATCAGAAGGAATGAGCATGAATGCTTGTTAGCAGGTGCAAGCAAGACCCAACAGCTGATTCTGGAGTACAGCGCTATCAAAACATAAACGGCGCGTCCAGAAAACAATGGTGCGCCAAGGCAGGAAATTTGAAAATGCGCTCCGAAATCCATGCCGGAAAACTGAAGGTTCCGGTTTATCGATTGGCGGATTTTTGATGGTCAACCTGTACTTACATGAGAAAGATTAAATTGCTACATCCACCAATCACTTTTGTGAGTAAGGGAGATAATAAAAAGATAGTGTGTACAAGGCTCACCTTTTCACTATCCTCTGCAAGGCCTCTAATCTTCAACATTTCTGCTGTTTTGAGAAATCTAGCCAAATTTTCTTGATGCACATTTACTTCCCCCTGGTATATAAATCGTAGAAGCTTCTCTAAATCCGCAAAACGTACCTCTGGCGGCAATATGACAATTGGATGTTGACAAGGATTTGCCTGAAACAAGAAAGAACACTTTTCACATACAGTGGAAGACAAAACAAACAAAAAGGTAATCAGGAATATGGGAATCCTTAAAGAGGACCACAAATAGGTCTTAAATATAATTTTAAATTATTTTACTTTTCACTTTCGAGTAAGGTTAAATCATGAATGCAAATGGTAAATGTGATAACTTGCACTCATTTCATCTAATGCTTTATGAATAAAATAAAAGCAAGGTGAATTGCAAAATTTATGCTAAAATCTCCTTTCTGGCAGACCATATAGCCTGGGGTTCTTGTAACAAGAAAAATTTTTAAAAGGCCCTCAATCAAGTCCTTTGAATGGGCCCCTTGTGTCAACCTGGACTGATCTATTAATTAATTACTAACTATTTTATTGATCATCCTTCCTTACCCCTGAACAACCAATGAAACTGGAAAGAGGGGGGAAAGGCTGGAAGTCTAAGTAAGAACAAGTGTTTGACCAAGCAGTGTAGTGATGGCCCTACCCTTTATGAATCCACATAAAAATGGGTTTACCTACTAAAAACACATCAGTTCCAGTTACTTATCTAGACATGAATGCTAAGGGAGGTAGAAGGGTGAACAAGTTCCAGACTACAGTCTCCACTAAAAATAAATAACCTTGTACTGTAAATGGAATTACCTGTGCAGATCAGGAGGGAAAAAACTACCAACCTTCACCCACAGATATAAAAAGATTAAACCATTTATCAGAAAAAAAATAACTTAACCAACACCTCCAAGCATATAAGGAAAGCTAAGTAACTTAAAAAAAATAAAATAAAATGTAACTAATGCAGCTAAGGATTGTGATTCCTTGCCTGATCATTATGACAAAACAAAAACAAACAGCAAAATGCTTCCATCACATTATGCAACTTACTAGAGGAACCAGTAAGAGGGTTAAGGGCAGTTCCATAGAAAGAGGAAAATAATTCACATCAGGCCAAAAGTAAAGTTACTGTATCAAAGTAATATCCCATAAATGTACAACTTCCCTGAAAAAGCTGAGTAATCAAAGGGATATTAAACCCATGAGAATGTGTTCACTCCATAGGCTAAAGACTGGACAACGGGCATGACAAACACCGGCACATTGGACTTTTGGCTATAACAAACAAATTCACATAAGGATAATCCCCAAGAGAGAGAACCCAAGAAATGGACTTTACTCCATTCAGAGGGTAAGACTATTTGTTAAAAACCCTGAGTACTGGACTAATTAAGCCACAATGACGTTGTTACTCAGACGGAATCCATTATTCGGACGTCCATATCAGCAGGGAGGTAAAACTGTTCAAAACAACAGCCTACATATTACACTACCACAGATTGACATATTTAAGCTCTTAATAAATTACAATAGTTCATGTAAAACAATCATACTTATGATATACTGTCAGTAAAATAAGTTTTTTTTATTTAAAATGTTAATAGATGTAGGTAAGGTTATAGATTCTAGCTTTCAGACCCCAAAGAAATATTTGAAGATTCCCTAGTCCAGACGTACGTATGTACAGAATCTGACATGGATGGCTTTGTGCAGTGCGAGATAATGTGGATGTGATGGGTACAGTAATAGTCTGGCAATGAAATGGATACTGTTTGTTCATGAAATCCATTTCGTGAAATTCTTTGTCATGGGTAGATTTAACAATGAGTATATGGGAATAGATTCCAATCCTTTGTTATTCTGTATTTTACATATGCCAAAAATGAGCAAACACTGCAATAAGAAACAATGAAAATAATAGCTAGCACATCATGAAATCCAATAGCACATATTTTTTTTACAAAAAAATATATCATTTCGCCCTTGAAGCATCCTATGGGTGAAGCCGAGAATGGACGAGTTCAGCCAGCAAGCTGACTTCAGATGCATGGTTGCTACGCTGTGTATGCCATGTTACATTGGGGAGACTAGGATGCATTCAGAAAACGTTCACCTCCCACCAGTGGCATATATGGGTAGGGGGGAGAGCATGTGGCCATGGTGCCCCCTTTTGCTACTGCCCTCAACTCATTCAACCCACTTCAACTCGCTTTCACTTTTAGTGGGGATGAAGTGGATCACACTTACAGTATATTCAGGTATTTATTGTCAACCATAGCTAGCACTTCAAGTTTATCCTTCCTGATAAGGTGCTTTCTGCTCTTTGGGGCATTACCCGAACATACCTGCTTGGGCATTGTTATCACAATATGTTACAGTAATACCCTGGTTAGCACTACCCCATGAGCATTGCTTCATTATAGTACTTTTGCTTGCATCTTGGCGCTCTAATTTTACTTGAAAAAATAACAAATAAATGATGAAAATCCATAAAAGATGTCAAAAGTCACAAGTCCCAACACTCACAACATGCTGAGAGCAACTCGCTTTGTTTATACTGTACTCACTTTAGTGAGTACCCATGACTACAGTTGATTATTAAATGCCCTACAATTTTATATTAGGTGTAGGTCTTATTGTATAACACAAAATTGTGTGTGGTTAAGTTGAACGTCAGCTGTTGAGGAGTGCTTCACAACACACGTGGTGTATGTTACCACTTCCTTACACTCCACCTCTCTACTAATCCCCACCTTTCTACTTTCTCACTCCATATTTTAAGATGTTGTGTATCAGCTGTTCAATAGCATCTGGCAGTGCTGTGGCCAATGTTACGAAAGAAACTGAGATGCATCACCTCCCCACCTACCGCCTCCATCATTACCACCCCCCATCATCATGACTACCTCTATTATCACCACCTCATCATAATTTCATTGATGCAGAGATGGATTAGCTTCAGCCAGGGCAGATCTGTGTGATGTCCACTGCCTCCCGCCTCCCTCCCATTTCCTGCAGTGGTGGTGGTGGTTAGTTGTTGCTGGGTGGGTGGCAGGAGGTCAGTTGAACAGTATTAAGAAGATGTATTATATATTGTACTTCATATACAGTATTTTTGTAAGTATTTCATGTTTTTCATCATTTATATTGTATTTTACATATTATAGTACAGTGTTTGTATGTATTTCACATTTTCTTATCAATCTATAAGCATTTCTGTTTGAAAAATCAATACAACTAGCCCCAAAATTCCCAGTCAGGAAATGCATCCCTCCCAAATACTGCCTGTCGTTTCCAATGAGAAACTTTCTTTCACATATCGCATTCGGGAGATCACAAGGGTTTTCAGGAACAAAATCATTGCAACAGACCCACACCCTACATACTGTAGGATGAAAGAGATATCAGACTTTTTGTGACAAGGCTAAGGTAGAAGCACTGTAGAAAAGCCATCTCTGCCTTAAATTCAAGGACATAGCTTAATGTACTTGGGCAAACAGTGCAGAACTCTAGACAACCCCATACATTATTGTGGAGGAATTGGATTTAAAGGTATACCCAGTAAACCAATGTTGCATTAACCACCGCTTCGCATAACCGACGATTGCTGATACCCCATTGATGCGACAATTGGGAAGGAGTAGCAGAGCTGTTTTGAATTTGGCAGGCGGTGGCATGGTGCGAATTCTTGCCACGCAAAAGTTCTGCGCGCTGCCTCCGACTCATTCCCACCTCTCTGCACTTGTTTACACTTACCCAGTTGTCTCCGACTTCGTGTTTTTCGTTATTTCCGACTTCGTATGTTACGTAATTATGCTTAAACGCCCCAGTGATAGTTCTTCCTGTGCTGCCCCTAAGAGGTTGCATAAGTCTGTGAGTCTTACTGCCAAGCTTAATGTGATGAGCAGCAATAAGAGTGGTGATGGACCAGCTATGATTGGTAGAGACTTGAACTTACCACTCTCGACAGTCTCTACCATCCTCAACATAGGTACATACAGTAAAAGTCAATTTTGCTTTTGTTCCTTATTTAATGCTTATTATGCTTGCTGTATATATCTGCCTTATTTTCTTAATTGACAGTGTCCACAACAGATATATCAAGGGTAGCATTGGGGTGGCCGGTCCCTAACCTCCCGAAATTGTAAGATTTGTTATACTGTATTTTTATGGGATTAATAGCTTCGATAACCGTTGATTCACGAACCAACGACTTTTCAGTCTGCATATGCATCGTCGATTAACGGGGTATACCTGAACTGAAGTTCACTTTTTTTTAATAAAAACGCTTGAGAAATAAAAACTCTAATCTTGACTATACACATATGACCAAGCCAAAACATAAATTTGTGAGAAAACCCAACCAACTCTGGGCATACATTAAACTTAAGCAAAATTCCTGCCACTTAAAACACCATGAATCTATTATAATAATAATAATAATAATAATAATAATAATAATAATAATAATAATAACAAAATCCACAACACAAGCTACCTCTCACATTCTTAGACAGGTTGAATAAAAAATCTGAAGTATGTTCAATTACCCAAATTTTGTAAAACTTGATTTGCATTAACCCATAGTTAAACACTCACGATATATCAAGAACTGGAGCAAGAGATTTTGTTCTTTAAAGTACCATTCAGTTATGATCAGCTAGGAGATGTTTCTAGTGTACAAACACAGTTTTGTACAAATTCATAGAGAAAAGATGACATTGTGGACACTAATTGGCCAGACCCTCACTCTGAGCAAACACCCAGCCATCTTCCCATCTCCCTTCCAATAGGAAGGAATTGGTAAAATAATAACTAACAGTAACCCTGGCAGCCAGTAGGGGTCCAAGAAAAGGGTTCACGGACTCCTATTAAGTCACCTTTTTCAAGAGCTATGCCGCAATAGGTATTATGTTTTCACACAAAAATGGAGAAACTGTTACTCACCTTCAAGAGATCTCTGAAGAAAACTGAACATGCTGAAAGTAACATTTTGTGAGCTTTGAGGAACTGCCCTTCACACGCTAGAGTTACATCTACAAAATCTTGGTCATTCTTGAATCCATCCAGTGCTGTTACTAAGCTGGAGTGGAAGTTGTTCCAGCGGAGGCAGAACTCCTGTGCATTAGCTGTCATCGCACCCGAGTCCTCCATCTCGCTCTTGAAATAAAAAAAGTAAGGTGGTCAATTACAAGAATTACATTAAGCCCCAGCTATATCATTTCCCCACACCATTCAGTTGTGTAACATACTACTTTACTAATGTATTACAGCTTTTTATACAATCCAGTTTCATACAGAGGTGTGTTTTAGTTATAAAATGTTGTGGTAGGAGCCCAACCCAGCCACCTCCACAGATGTAAGCCAGCCTTATATGTTGCTCCTGAATATCATGAGAAGGAAAATACGGTATCCAGTATTAAAAGAAGTTTGAAGTTCTGCTTACTGTTAAAATTAATAATTAACAGACCTATTGAAGTATCTGTCAACCAATAAGCTGAGAACCAAGCGGCTTCCCTAAAATGGATAATTACATAAAGTGGATACTATCATGATAATGTTTCCAAGGAAAGCAATTCTGTACCTGTACACTAATTTATTTTATTATTTTCTAACACTAACTAAATTATTAAGTGTACCTGTACATACATTTAAGCTTTCAGTGTTTTCATTCTCCTACACTCATCACATACAGGCAGTCCACAGGTTACATACGATTTCCGTTCCTACAGACGTTTTTAAGTCGAAACTGTACTTAAGACGAACCACATACCCTATGTGCATAACGTACTTACAAAACAATGCTTAAAATCCCACTTAATCATAGCCTAAGTCCCTCTATACATCTAAAATCACTTAATTTCAGAGAAAAGAAGAAATAGTGACAAAATACAGTAAATGAAAGTAAAAAAATAAGTCATCAGGTAAATAAAATATCCTGTAAATTTAAAGTCAAACTTTATGGGACCTCGTACGTATCAGTGGATGCTCATAAGTCGGATGTACGTAATCCGGAGGCCTCCTGTAACTTACTCCTCACACTCACATGAGGTCAAGTAGCCTTGTAACTTATACCACCATGCACACAGTCCCTCAACTAGTTCCATTGTTGTCTATTTTCTCCTCAGTTACTCTCATATAATACAGCATGTGGAAAATTTTGGATGACACAATAACTCATTAGGGTCGAGCATGGACGAACACAGAATGGTCATTTACTGCACAAATCTTCCGTTAAATTGACTAATAAATTATGTATATCAAGTTAACAAATACTTTCCTGAAAACTAACGTTATAAGTACAGTACATTGCAAAGTTTACCGAATTACAAACATGATAGTTACCAGTGCACAGCAATTAAGCATAACTTCCTTACAGAACTACTACTGTACAGTATACGTACTCTCGAAATTAATTCCATTAATACGCTCACACCTACAGAGACGCCATAGACAGTAAAACCTACTTCAGCCTACGGGGAATGTACAGGCATCCCCGTGTTACGGAAGCCCGGGTTACGGAATTTCGCTCTTACGGAATTTGTAAATTATGACCAATAATTTTGCGTTACGGCCTGTAAATCCGCCCTTATGGAAATTCGGGTAAATTTTAACAATTTAAAAAAAATCACTATATAAAATTATAATTTGTTGTTAAAAATTATATTTTGTTTGGTGTGGATTTCTTGGTGTTTGCTACCGCCAAGCGTGGCATCGCCACAAGGAGTCAGTCCATTGTTTACATCCAGTGTGCACGCATGTTTCTCCCCCAGCAGTTGGATTAAACTTTTACAAACATACAGTAAGTACAGTATAGTGCATTACCCTTATTCAAGATGATTGGAAAGAGGCCATCAAGTGGAAGTGACCGCAGTAGTGCAACAACAAGCTGCAAAGGTATTACATTGGATATTAAACTTGGTGTTTTAAGAAGGTATATCATAAATTATTTAATGTACTGTATTGTATGTGTTTATAAATGTTTATTTTCATTAATAAAAGTGCTTGAATTACTTTTTGGGGGCCGAATAAATTCCTTAGGAACGCATCTCCAGTTTTATAATGGAAGTCAATGGGAAAATAGGTTTCGCGTTACGGAATTTCGCGATACGGTCAATTTTCCAGGAACGGAACCCTTCCGTAACGCGGGGGATGCCTGTACTAAATGTATAAAAAACGATAAATAATTACATAAAAGAACGCCATTTAAGATGCACCAGTTATTTTATCAAGGAGTATTTAGGAAACTGTGACCAGTTGCATACTTTTTACATATTTCATGTAGATCCACAATGGAAATGTGGACAAGATAAATCTTGATAAAAACACACAGGAAAAGGGAAACACTGGAGCACCTTAGCTTTTGTCTTTATTCAAAAAATCTTCAGAGGCAAATGAATTTACAGGGACTGAGAGGCTTATATACAATGGGTGACCTTACATAACTTCAGGTCAGGTCAATAGCATGGGATCCACTAATTCACACACCACCTCCACCAAAAATGAAGCTCATAAAAAAAAGGGTGACATCATAACAGGTCAGGTCAAGTCAGGTCAAAAACATGAGGCCCACTCATCACCTATCCTACATCCACCTCAAATTCTTTCAAAGCATTTTAACCTTAGGCCAGAGTTATTATTCATTAATTAATACCCCAACACCACATCACACACACTTAGCAAATAGAATCGAAAAATGACATAGCCACATCCCAATTAGAGGGACAGTTCACGGTGAGTCTTAATCAGACTCAGTCACTATGGAAGCAACGATCATCCACAAACTCAAGTGAAGAAGCTTGATAATAAATAATAATAATAATAATTAACGGTTTATTGAAAGAGCTTGGCAGCCAGAAGGCTGAAAATATACAGTTACATATTTGGGGAATGGGTTTCGAATTACAAATAATATACAAGTAACATAAGTGATACAAATAAGATATATAATAACTAGATGGGGAAAAGCTCAAACTACAGTGCAACTTGTCATGCCCAGGGGATGAAATGGAGCAACTGAGGTCTTTCTCGACATTATGTGACTTATCTCTCAAGCTTAACACTCACTACCTGCATCTGCTGCTTGTGAGCATCTGTTTATTCATGCTGGGTGTGTTATTTATTATTTAATTTATAACACCCCTGGGGGTGACAAGCCAAGTTACAAGACCATGTGGTCAGACACTAAAACATTTATTGGTACTCATATCTCACAGGACACGCTATGATTTGTGATATGGAGACAATACAAGAATTAAATCAAAATTATTATGAATAAGTAGGTGGTGACATATAGTGGTTAGTGACTTGTCCTGTGGTAGGAGGTCCCTGACAGTGGGACAGTCAAGGAAATAGTGTTGAAAGGTGTTAGCGCTGGGTACAGAGTTTACTGGAAGAGAAGTGCGGATCATCCCCACCTCAGATACTTGCCAGATAGGTCTGTATCCTAACCTAATGTGAGCAGACATTGTTATGTCTGCGAACCATAAGTCCAATTCGACGATACTTGTGTGGATAAGGAAGAAAGTAATCATAGTATTGGGTGGATATATTTTCAGCCCGTTTACTATTCATGTGATGGATTGTAGGGAGAAGAGAGGTAGGTCATGCTGTGCTTATATCTAGGCCTAAAAGATCCTGATTGGAGCCATAATTTTGAGATTCAGTTATTGATTAATCTCAATACAAAGACTTGCAAATAAACATGTGTAATACTATGTGTCTTTTATTTTTATTGTTAGTTAAGTATTTTTTTATAATTTACTGAGGATTTATTTTAATATTTGAGACAATAATTTTTTTTCTAAATTTACTTTCAGTACTTGAGTACTTTATGAATGAGATACTCTTTTACTTCTACATGAGTACATTGAACTTTGGATACTTTTACTTCTACTTGAGTAACATTTTGCCAATGTAACAATACTTTTACTTAAGTAACAAAGTCAGGTACTTTTTACAACTCTGCCCCTCGCAACCCATCAGGGTGCCTGGGACAGTTGCCACTAGTCCCATTTTCACTTATTTAGGCTGTAAGATGTCACTAGTGAGCGCAGAAAATTTGTAAAAACAGCGGCTATGCTGTAGTGATGAAGCCATTCTGCCATTAGAAAACCGCGGCGTCACTTAACCCTTACAGCACTGACTCTTTATAACCTGTCTGCCTCCCCAGGGACATTGTTTATGAATCTTTAATTTCTTGTATATAGGTATACTTTTTTTTTATTTCTATAGTTTATCACCTTAGAATGAACGTACAATAGTAAACAAATTCATAACTCGACACAGCGTGAAATATTTGGCTGGGTGTGTTTTCGGGCAGGATTTGTGGCGTGATTTTACATGCGGATTTTGAGCTCGTTATCGACTCGGAAATGACTGCCAAATGGATGGGAGGGTTTTTCTAGTAGGTATGCTTCTATATTCTTCATACTAGTGCCTTACAGAGATTTTCTTCATGTCTCTTTCATTCCACATACACAAACATCATTACTACCAGGATGTGTCATTTCCAAGCCACCCAGAAGGTAGACACATTGGCTGGGTTTTTTTATAATGGTATCCCCAGGAAGCCTAGTCAACTCTTAATATGTTCATTGTTTCAATTTCAATAATGTTCATCAATTTGCTCAGACACAATGTTCACTCTTTTATTCTCTTTCACTCTCTTCTTTGTAATCTTTCACCACACTTTTCAAATGTTCTTCACTTTCTTGTTCTAAATCTTCTTACATAGACTAACACTAGGCGATTTATGCATAACAAAAAGTGGGATATACAAATCAAATGACTTGAATAATAAGTCAATACACAATAGGCTACACAACAAAAACTGACGTACTAGCACTCTCATACCCCAGCCAACAAGGCGGCCAGTTGCTAGATATTAGTAGAGGGTTACATCAAGTTGTCATAACAACCAGTAGACGCCAGATCCGAGCTCAAACAATGGCGCGAAAACTCATGCCTCATATGAGTCCATTAGCGCGGTGCGCACAGACGTGTTATGGGCTCATATGAGTCCATTAGCATGGTAGAAGTTAATGGGGTAATATCTTTAAAAGTAACACAAATATGCATATAACCCGTACAGTACATATCTAGAGTTTGTAGTCAGCTGCCCCATTAGAGGTCACAGCCTCAAGTTAAAGATGCTATCA